TATTTTCTTTTGTATATATATTAGCTTTAGGTAATATTTTTGCGATATTGTTCCCCAGACTAGCATCTTATAAGTCCACTTTAGAATAGAAAAGCACGTACTACATACTTTTTTAATGTCTGTGAAACTAAGTGCATTGTTCTAAAGAAACAACCAACTATTCGTGACAGTGCGGTAATTAAATGGTTCACATGTGTGTTCCGATTCAACCACACGGCAAAAATGTTTTGTTCCTCAATATGTGCAATACAATTTCCTTCAAAACTTACAGTTATGTTACTGATAGGTTTCATTATAGGCAGGAAGATCATATAGGCTGTTTTTTTTGCCCATTCAAACGCAGTTCATTTTGCTTTAACCAAATTGAAAAGTGACTTAGTTATTTACGCTTACTTCAAGTGATAATAAATTGTCTGATGTAAAGCAAACAGCCGTATTGTCAGTGTACATACTAAGTTCCGGTGACTGACGTATATCGGAGATATCATTTATGTAAGCAAGAAACAATACTGGCCCCAGTATGGGCCCCTTGGAAACTCTTTGGTTCAATTTAATTTTTTAGATATTCTATTGTTGATTTGTACACACTGATAGCGATCTTGCAAGTAACTTTTTAACAACTATAGTGGCACTGAATGCAAACCATATTTGGATAATTTGTTTATAAATAGTATGAATTGTATAAAGTCAAATGCCTTCGGAAGAGGGAGAAAAAGCCAAAGTGTGTATTTTTTGTTTTCCGTGTTTTCGATTGTCTTATCTTTTCATACAGGAGTGTCATATGATGTCATTGTTGGGTTAAAGGGACTGTCTACCGCTCAGTCAAAAAATTCTTATTGTGGCGCAAATGAATATATTGCTCGTCACATCGGTGGCAACGAGCTTGCCTTTGTGTCAGAAAAAAAGAATTATACTTTTAACTTGATATTGAAAGCCGATAAAAAGTCACCACTAGCGTCACCCAACAGCGAATGCAGTCAATCTTTACAATGTATTGGTAGATCAAGAAATCCTCGCAAGTGGACGTATTTTGCTTAAAAAGAAACAAGTTTACCATAGAATTATAGTTTGTGCACATGAGGCAGCTTTAGGTTGCGCCAGATACATATTTTTGCTTTGTTTCTCACGCATTTCAATGGGCGCCTGCTGGAGCTGCCAGCAGTGTGTTCGCTCTCCTGCATGCCTGCCTGCAAATGACAGAGAAACGTGACCATGGCGTTTGCCACCACTCAAGAGAACAACAAAAAAGTGTGTGCGTGCCTAAAACTACCACAAAGGTATTTGTTTTATTAAAACCAAACTTGATGAGCCCTGCGCAAACCGCACGTGGTTTCAGTTTTGGACTATCACCGGCATCGACCATTGTTGTGGGCATTGATTGATATGTGGGGTTTAACGTCTCAAAACCACCATATGATTATGAGAGACGCCATAGTGGAGGGCTCAGAAAATTTTGACCACCTGGAGTTTTTTAACGTGCACCCAAATCTGAGCACACGGGCCTACAACATTGCCGCCTCCATCGGAAATGCAGCCGCCGCAGCCGGGATTTGAACCCGCGCACTGCGGGTCAGCAGCCGAGTACCTTAGCCACTATATCACCGCGGCGGGGCTTGTTGTGGGCATTCATCCCACCAATGGAAAGAGACACAACGGGGACAGAAAAATTTTGTTTCAAAAATTTCCAGGCACTTTCCAGAGAAACCGATGCAAGGTTAGACATGTCACATGGTACGCTGTTGTTTAAAGCAATTATAACAGGTATAGTGAAAAAGCCCGAGTAATTCCCAGTTCATGCCATCGTTTTAGCATTACCTGTTGAGAAGAAAAAGAACTCAGAAATGTCTACGATGCGGTGTCTCATAATTATATGAAACAAAAATTGTTGTCCAGGAGCAAAACCTTTTTCATCATCATCGTCATCATCATTCGCCTGACTTCGCCCACTGCAGAACAAAGGCCTCTCCCATGTACCGCAAGTGAATTCGGTCCTGTGGTGGCCGCTGCCACTTTACACCAGCAAACTTCCCAATGTATTCTACCTATCTAATTTTCTCTCTCCTGCTCACCCCCTTGCCTTCTCTGGAAATCCAGTCAGTTACCCTTACTGAGTAGCGGTTATCTGACCTACGGGCTAGGTGCCCTGCCTATGTCCACTTATTCGTCTTGATTTCAACTATAACAACCTTAACCCCGTTTTGTTCTCTGACCCACTATGCTCTCCTTGTCCCTTAAGGATACACTTATCGTTTGCCTTTTCATCAGTTGCTGGATTGTCCTGAACCTAAGCGGAACCTTCTTTGTAAGCCTTTGGGTTTCTGATTTTTGGGTACGTACCGGCAAGATGCACTTGTTTTATACCTTCCTCTTTGGAATAGTGATTATCAACCAGTCATCATTTCAGAAGGCTTGCCGAATGTCCTCCGCCCCATACCTAATATTCTTGTTACTTGAATCTCGTAGTTCAGCTCAACGGTTACTACCTGTCCCAAACACGCATACTCTTTTCCAACTTCAAGTACACTGCTACCTATCTCGAAGCGCTGTTCGTTTTCGAGGTTGATGTACTATACTTACGTTTTGTGCAGAATAGTTTAGGGTCTACCTTTATGCTCTTTTTGTCTGAATCAGTATTCGTGCATTGCGACTCGTCCCTGGAGTTACTCAGCAATGCAATGTAATCGGTGAAGCTCAACAACGGAGGTACTCTCCATTAAATTTTATTCCTACTCTTGCCATTAGAGGGCTCTGAAAACCTCCTGTAAGATTTTTTGAGTCAAGGTTAAAATATCTGCTCAGTCCAGCAATGGTGTACTGGATAGGCGCCAAAAGCTGTTACATATATAGTGAAGCAAACTTTTAATTTATTAATGTATTTTGTGGAAAGAATGTCAAATAAAACAGCGCAATTTTGCAGTGGCTGCACAAATGCGATATGTCTAGAAGACAAAGCTCCGGAGGTGTCAACCCTGGAGCCCATCTGAGGATGAAAAACTTTTCATTGGCAGAATTGCCCTTACTGTTGCTGTATTTCTTCCATCTGAGGCCTATGCCAATCCAAATATCAAGAGAGTTCCTGCTCAACCTCAGATAACAAGACATTATGCGCCGAATTACGGAAGCGCAGCATCATGCACCTGCGCGAAATGCTCGTAAAAACTGTTTTGTCAAAGTCGATAGTCATCTGCATATCACTTCATCTTTTTAAAGTTTTTTGAAAGCTTCATTTTGCCATAACTCGTTGCTGACAGTCTATTTTTGAACTCATAACAGAATCATCTATATACAGTGTAATTTTTGCGGGAATGCCAATAGATATATCGTTATAACTACTCATTTAGACAAAGTAGTACTTTCGACGAACAATGTTTCCGCAACCGTTAGGAGTTGTGGCGTCAGCAATACAAAAAGCGCTCAATCGACTGTTTTGTTTAACAGTGCCCTGCACTCTACATATACAAATGTATAGAAGAAAAAAGTGTATACCTAAGGGCTCGTTGTTCCGTGGTTTGACACAATGATAATGAGATCTAACAGACAATAATGCCAAGGAGTGTATAGGGGAAGTTATACAAACCAATGCAATGTGAATAGGAACAAATAAATGTGTGTGAAAAAATAACTTGCCGTGAACAGGAATTGCACCTACGACCTTCTAATAACGCGTTCGTTGCTTTACTATATATCTATCATGGCGGCTATCCCCCCCAGCCACTTTATTCGGTTCATATGTGAATTTAAACGTTGGAGTGTCAGTCAGCGCGACCTGTAGCCATGGCGGCGAGTGTGGCGCACTGTCTTTATGAGCCCGTATGGCGTCACGCAGCACGTGAACTTATTACGAGCTGGTAGCTGACGTATAGTCTCTCGTGTACAACCTAACGGCACCGAGTCTGCCTGTACGAGACCCTCGTTAATGTATAGGGGAAAGAAGTGTATACCTAAGGACTTGTTTTTCCGTGTTTTGACACACTATTAGGAAATCTAACAGACAATAATCCCAAGGATTGTATGGTGGGAGGTATTAGAACAATTGTATTGTGAATAGGAAGAAAGAAAAGCGGGTGAAAAATAATGTATAGTATATATATACGAGATAGTACTTACATTTGCGTCTCAAGAGACACAGATTCTTATCCACCCAGCGCATCCAAAATTTTTAACGCAACTTTCTGGTTTGGTGATTCACTCTGAAGTAGTACAACATAGTGCATGAAAAGGTAAAATATTTTTAAATTTCAACTGTTCATAAAAACGGAAGGGCACTGACCCTTTTTTAATATTGGACGTGCTTTACATTCGTCAGAAGTGTTCACGCTTTTTAATGTACATGGGCTAACCAATTCGCACTGTCTTATAATTGAGCATCAGTGTCTTATAATGATTAATGATCACTTTGTCTCAGTTTATGATTACGTAACTTTTTAGCCTCCTCCACCCACATATTTCATTATCTATTCGTCGTTAAAAGAAGTTATTCTCTAAACATTTTTTAGAAAAACGGTAACTTAGCAATCCTCACCCTTTTTATTTCAATATTTAATTAACCTAGGTGCCTTCTTGTAGGCCAAGTTTGCTAAGACGCGTTGGAAGATTTAAAGTGCAAATGCCCGTTTCAGGGCTGTGGCTTGAGCGAATCTCTGATGCGTAATCTACGCTCATAAAACAAGAAATAATTAAAATATGGCAGACACACTTGTGGTTGTGCATCTGCGATCCTTTTTACTCGGTCCTTACACGCATTGTGCATAAAAAAGGAGCACCCTCTGTCTCTTCATTGCGATGGGCCGACTTAGTTCTATGTGGCGTCGAGTGGCGCACTATGCCGTGAAGTTTCTTTCGCAGGTGCCTTGGTCGCAGGAGCAATCGGTGCCGGCGGAGCCACGGGCCGTACGACGCCGACGGCTGGCCCCGGTGGACCAAGGCGGTGACGAGAAAACCTTGTGCGATAAGATTAATGTTAACGCGGTTTCTTTTCTCTTTGAGCTTTATGACTGCACCTGGGCAATTACGTGCGCCTACGACCAGGCACGCACTTTATCTCTACAAAGGCCGGTTCTGCGAGCGAGCTGCTGCTGCTTCAAGATCCCAGAAAACTAGTTCTTTGGCGCAGAAGAATCGGGAGAAGAATCGAGACCGTGAGTGAGCCTCTTCTTATTTTTCCTCGGTTCTTTTACGTGGCTGGTGGAGAGAGCAGATACTTGAAGGAACCTAGGCTCATGCGTGCCGCCTTAGATGAAAAAGAAACAGTTCAGGCATTGTTTCTGAGTGCAGGATATTCACACAGATACAATTATTTGGCTGCAAAGTTGTAGCAGTGCTCCCTCTCTCCTTGTCGGGCTCCTGGCCCTGCTGCGATAATACAGCTGCCGTACTTATGATAAGCGCATAACCAGCTTGACCCAAGCATTCGCTCCATCACATGTCTACCGAGGTTACAGATACACTTCCGCGTGGCGATATAACGCGAAATGTTTAAAGCCCATGCTCCACAGTGGCTCTTGAGACTAATGAGCCGCGTTGCATTAAGAGAAAAAAAACAAATAAGCTTCCTTATTGGGCTATCAGCTCGAATCGAATACTTTCAGGTTTTCTCAGGCTGTTGTGGCCTCTTGCATTACATCGCCTTTCTAATGTACGAGAACGAGCAACAATTGTGACCATCCTCGTTCATGTACGTTTTAGATCTGGTTAATGATTTTCATGACGACTTCCCACCTGTTCAACGAAGGAGCGAGAAAAAGCCACAAAAGAGTTTTTTTCTAGACTCTAAACATCTAAGAAATTCAGTCCAGAGATGAGTCTTCTAAGGAACGCCTTGAACGATACTACTCGTTCTAAGTTCCATTTATATAATGGTACCCTTAAATTTATGTAAAAGCGACTCTAACGTGAAACATTGAATCAGAGTAGAGTGATTATTGGCATTATAAATAATATGTTATAGTTAATTTCACCTTCATGATCGCCTTACTACGTTGGAATTGATAAAATCAATTTCAACGTTACTTATTTAAACGTAGCGCAAAAAAAAAACCAAGGGGGAACACAAATACAGAGCTGTGCGTGTTATCCCATTGGTGTCATTTGTGCTACGTTTATTAATGCAATATTACCAACTCACCCAGCAAGACACCATTCTCAAGTTTGAAATCTTTTTTTTAAGTTCATGCTAGAAGCTACGCATGTAGTTTTCAGCATGAACTACACAGCTTTCAAAATGTTATGTTTATACTTCTACCGCACTGGCTCAACGAAATTTTTTTTTTGCAAACTGCGTATGCAGAGTCTCTAGCCTCTCTTATGGCAACGCCATTCCTTTTTACAAATTGTCACCCACGTAGGACACAGTAGACACCGTCAAAATCCTTGGCGTTATGGTGACTGGTGGGGGAACTTCAAGGTGGCGTTGCCACTCGCTTATTCTTTTCGTGCTTTCTCGCCCACAGAACTTCTTCTCTCAGCAAGTGTGCTGTTTTTAGTATCGTGAAGTAGTGATTTATTAACACTATAAAAACATTGGGAAGTGATACATGAGAGCTTGTACATTGTGGTTTTCCTAACGAACCATTTGACATCGATGCACCCGCCTTGGCGCCTAATGGCACATGTTTATGGTGACTACTGCCAGACATGATCATGATTTAGGCGTTGTGGTAGCTTAACTTGCTAACATATACCAGGACCCAGCGTATCGGGAATCCCGTGCAAAGATGGCATAAACAAGCATGTAATAAACAATGATAATTCGTAAGTAGTTCTTCAAAACGTCGTCCATGAAGGAGAAAATTGCAGGGTAAGCGCTACCGAGTAACAGGCTGCCGTAGTGAATGCCCATAGGTACGATACCACACCTCATTGCTCGCTATGCCCGTGCATACAGAAGTGTGGTAGTGTAGGTTCATGCTCATGCATTTACTCTCACACTGCGTTTCATTTACGCTGGAGAAAGACGTTCATAGCTTCAACTGCGAACTGTGCAGGCCATTCACGTGCCGGATACCTCAGTTATGGTGGCGCCATACCGTTCTCTCGCTCCGCCAACGCAAGACATTCGCCTGTCCACAACTGTCCTTTCTGCGGTGCTTATTCCCGCATTTTTATTAGTCTGTGCTCTCGCACTCGAAGCAGCAAACAGCAAACACAGTTGGTGCATGTGGAAGCTGCACTACTCCGGCAATGAGCCATTACCCGCTAACAGAAACTGAAAGGCGAAGAAGGTAACTGCGTCTATGGTGGCTCCCCGATTCCAGCACGGCCAGTGTTTATCGCTGGTATCGCCTCCGAAACCTCGAGTCTCGAAGGCCATTCCTTAACTGCTACACTTCCGAGTAATTTCCTCTGAGCGCTAGTGAAGGCCAAACCCAAGTACGCTGCCCGAGCGCGAGCACCCGGCTATTCCCGCACGCTTGGAATGAGCGTGCGCCGGCGCACTCTAGCGAGCTAATAATGTGGGTTAAAAGCGCCAATCCTTGTGACTATAGTGCCCAAGGTACGCTCACTGACGCACTGCTGTTGATGGTGGTAGAAAGGCACCTAATTTCTCTGACCGGGCTGCAGAAATTAGGTGCCTTTCTCCTTTTCTAACCACTGCCACCACCATCAGTAGCGCATCGGAGAGCGTACCTGAGGCGCTACTCACGAGGAATGGCGGTTTTCCCCCACATTATTAGCTCGCGGGTAGAGGTGTGCACCGACTGGTCGGCGCGCCGCCGCCGAGAGTTTTCGCCGACCACCGCCGCCGCCGCCGCCGCCGACGACGACGTTTTTCATCGGCGCAATCGGTGCGCCATTTATACGCCAGTACTGACTTTTCACAGATTTGTCATTTTTTGGTCTTGGTTTATAGCTTAGTTTCACATTTTATGTAGCCAGTAAAAACCAGGCTTCTTAGTTTTCATCCAGCTTCAGAGACCGAGAGTACCACTATGAACAGCGGCACAAATTCGGCTGCTGCTGCATGAAATGACATATTGAACAAATTGACAAAAATAAAGGTAACAGTTGCAGTAAAGCATATACACTGCCATCTTGGGCTTAAAAGCAATTTTCGCTGGTTGTATACGTCGTAATTAGCAATGATTATGGTCATACGACGTTGAATGTACTGGCCCAGCGTTTTCATGCGTGCGAGTTCACCATAGCACTATGCGAATATTCATACGGATGAAAAACGGCATCATTATTAGTGCAAGATGGCAGCCTATAACCGTGCCCGAAACAGGCCGTAAACACAGAAGAAATGAAGTGGTAGCAGTGCAGCGCAAATGCAGCGCATTAGATGAAGAACTACACAAAGTCCCGAAGGATGAAATTCAAAGGAAGAAGTTTAATGAAGATTAAAAGCGTCAAGACATAATACATGCTCGAACCTACTCAGGGTATATTATCACCTGTCCATGGTGTTAAAGTTTATAATTTTGAAGGATGCCACTTGTATGCGGCGTCTGAGCATGCTGCAGAAAACATTCACCATCTGTTTTATTCTTTACCTTTTCTATTTGTACCAGCCTTTTAAGACACAGGATATCCGGAATGAAGATGCCAGGGTAGTTAGATGGCAAGAGAGAGAAAGGAAGGTTGGGGAATTAACCATATCTTGGCATGCGGTTTGCTGCCTAGCACTGGGGGTGGGGAAATAGGGGCAAGAAAGGGGGTGTAGAGAGGCAGAAAAGAAAACGCATGTGCACTCAGGAGTAGGATGGCAAACTTAACAGAGGATTTATAACATTCTGTAAAGACAGGGCGAGAGATCTCTTGCGAATGAGCTGGCTCGCTCACTATAAAGTGTACGTTTTGACTAAATCAGGGAATGGGTCCAGAATGCGTTGTTGAATCACGGGGGACACACACCATTTCTGACGGTGCCGCTCACACTCGCTCCAGTCAAGGTCTTTGATTGGGGCGTGGCCACCACACTGCACTTGTGACACCAAGAAACCATTGTGGTCATCTCGTCAAACGTCTTATGGTGTCGAAATGCCACCTCACTTCCCGGCTATGATGGACAATACACGGCGGACAGCAGGCTGGCAGCCCTTCGGTGACTTGTTTGATGAACAAAGAACGTGGCTCTCCCCCGTCGGCCCAGGCGCCGTGCGTAACAACGGCTATTCCGTGGTGAGGAGAGGCGTAATAAGCTTGTCTGAGGCCACCAGCTTTAAAAAGAACAAAACGAAACCTAAAAAGACTTGCCAGTAGAAAGTTTATAAAGGACGGCTGGATTCGTCAATAATGCGAGGCAGACATTTGAGCGACTTGTCATATATGACACAGTCCAGCAAACAGGCTTTCATCAAGTAACTTTAACGGACCTTCTGGCACTGGGAGAGGTGAAGAATGATTGTTGCTGACAGATGTACATCTGTTGCGAAGGTAATGTTCAAAATCAACGGAATAAATCTTAACATTATATTCAGGTCCTAATAAAAAAGTAAGTCAAGTTAGAAAGCTCCTCAGGTGGCCAAGTAATCAGTTACTTCACCATACTTGATGGAGGAGTAATTTTCAAATAAGTAATGCAACCGCTGCCTGATTGACATTAAATGACGTGACCGTATCTACGATGTGTCGTCGCTATAAAAAACTGGAACGTTATATGCGTACACAAGTGAGCGAATGCAGCGGAGAACGAATATGTCACGTAATAAAAGCAATGTGATGTTGCACATTTTCGCTTGTACAACTCCGTGCCCTTTCGCTTGCTCGTGGTGTATTCGAAGAAGCTAGCCAGGTTTCAGGTAGAAGTCGAGCAGAGTAGCCGAGGCTGATAAGAGCAACATTTATATACACAATTTACACACTAAAGGTAGCATCATGGAAACTTGATGGGAGCTTCTAATAGCTGGTTCAGAGCGTCTTGGTGCTCGTGTTTTAAGCCCTGGTCTTCCTAAAATTCTCTGCAGTAGAAAACAATAGACGGTTTGCAATGATCTGCAAGGCAGCTTTTTTGTAAGGTTATTTTTCCAACCAAAAACTCTCCTTCACAGACTGCTTTTCTCGCTCATTTTTTTTGCCATTCCCCTTTTTTAGATCGTGTTGTGCTCGCGTGCCTTCGCAGGAATTTTATATATAAGTAGTTATAACAAAAGAAAAGAAAAGAAAAGTGCCGACCCGTAACAGTCTCTCCTTACAAGGA